GCGACGGGTACACACACGGGGAGCCCTCGGCTATCTGCAGCTTCGTTTTTCTATCGGCTTATTTATTTTGCAAATTACCGAGACAATCATCTGCACGTGTCGTGCCACCGCGCGTAATCACAAGGACGAGGAGGAAGAGGATGACTGGGTCAACGCGCCGTGCGACAAAACACCGAGTTTACCGCCCGCGTATCCTTCTTCCGTCTTTTGTCGTACAAATTATTGAGCATCTCCCCAGTGTCGATAAGCGATGAAGAGTGCGAGTGTACTCGAGATAATTTCATTGTACAAGGTCAGGTGAATAAATCATAGGCTGCATTAAAATGCATACAATAGAGAACACACCATCATCATGAATATTCCATCTTTCGCGATTGAACGTCTGATTAAATTTGTGCACCGACGTGATTTGAAATTCAGCTGTTTATGCAGAAATCCCCGGAACGAGGGAGCAGGTGATTGTAAAAAATGCACCATTTTCCAAACGGAAGCTGCATTTCGATCTTGACTCTTGTTAAGTTGAGAGTCAAAAACCCAAGTAGTATAACTGCGAGAACGCTTCGCGGTAACATTAACGAATGGTGATGTATGTCCGATGCATGCATATACATGCGTGCATAATTGCGCTACACACCGCCTCGGTACTCCATTTGGGGCACATTCACCGTTTTACGGGGATTTATGTCTTATTACGCAACGACGCCACGTACTGGATGTGCCAGCCGGCAACGTAAAATAATCGTTTCATAGGGTAATGAACTAACGCTATCCGAGACACCCGATAGAAGATAACGCGCGGTGTCTGCCGACGATATATAGTGATACGAGTGATATATTGCCTGTTAACACGAATCAAAGGACGGATTTTACGGTTAACGAGGATCCCTCGCCCATTCTAATGTCGTACGTCTATCAATCTCGTTGGATACTTATTTATATCTTGACATTTACATATTCGCGTACGGAGCGTGAAGGGACCGCATTGGAGAATCACGATTCCTCTCGAATACTGTTCCTTTCAACGAGTTTCTTAATTAGCTTTAATTTAGCGCATTGAGAAGAAACATTTCCCGCCGACTCCCGTAGACTTTAATTTCGCTCGTATACGGGAAAACGATCCTCCCTGCGGCATTGTTATCCACGTATACCAGGATATTTTTGACCACACCGCTTCTACAAGCGGCAGAGGTAGTTAATTAATTAAATGTTTGCCAATTATTCGGATTAAACAGCTTCTCGCTTCTGTGTTGCATCACGCGAATGCAGGGTTCCAGACATTACAGTGATGAAACGTCCGCATTGATTATTATAATTACATTGCCTTTTAATTAATTAATTATTTGGCAACATATGCGCGCACATTTTGTATCAAAGAACATTTCGCAAGATTTAATTTTAGATCAAGCAAGATCATTATATCGGCCATTACAAGCGTATCACCGAAAATGATACATTATGTCAATTCTAATACAATCTCAGATGACCATTATTTTATTACATCGACTTTCAAGTGCGTCCAATAGAAAATTTCATTCAGTCAAAAGTCTGTCTTCCATAAGAAATGTAAAAACGCAGTAACGTGTGCTTTGTATTTCCCAGGTTCAAATTCTGCACCATCCTGTGCGAATGATGTTATCGTTTGCCATTTAGGCGCAGAAATAGACTATCGTGTGTACTTGCGATCGTAAAAACATACCTTTCGCGCGCAGCAGCAGCTCGTTGCGTTTTGTATAATATGCAAACATGTCGCCCGCCATGTTGAGCAATGCATTTTCGACTGGAGTTTGCGTGCATGCAAGCCGGACAATCGAAGTTTTAAGACTCTGAGCAAGAAGCCATTCTTTGCAAGTTAGCCAACGGTAGTGCTAACACCCCATGCGGTTTACCACGTCGCATCGTCCATATATTTGCGTGCTAGTCTTTTCACCAGGTGGCGTTAGCAATCTCGCTGTGTTATTAGCGCTACAAATTGAGCTTTATAGTCAGTATCGTCTATATCGAATCAGGCGCCCAAATACATTATACAAATACATACATATGATAATTTTTGGATTATTTGTTCTGTACAAGCTGCAAAATTCATACGCACAATTCGTGCGCACGCTTCATTAATTTACATGTATATTTTATTTATCATGTCTCTCCATAGATATCCATAGACATTAGGATAAGAACGTTTGAACGAATAATATAATTAAAGTTCAACATATGACAGCACGCATTAGCCATATGTCGAATCATCTTTTATTTCCACAAGCTGGCTGTTGCAAACAACAGCCAGCGCATTGATGTTCGTCCATATTGCCGTCCATGCTGTGCCACGGCGGACAGTAATTTATTGGTATCTTCCAGCTTGCTAGAAAGTTTCTTGGATTGCGGCGAGGCATTCGGGGGCTACAAGGGTGCGAAAGTAATCCACTTTATCCGTCACACCTCGCGAGCTAAGCCGCGCATTGATTTTGCATTAGCGCGACCGACACATCGCGCCCATTCCATTCACCTCCTTCTCGTTCTTTCCGCCGATACCGATGTGTACACAACGCTCACGTGCGCTCGCCGTCCGACTCCATTCGTTCGAAGGGAGCGAAGCTTAACGCGGCGGGTTGTAGCACGCAATGTCGAGGGCGGCGGCGACCGCAATATTAGATTAATGGCAGATGGTACTTCACTTTCAGAGGGTGCCCACATTTCTCCGTCCGTTATGGAATCTCCACGGAAATTAAGCTCCTCGAGTGGCCGAAGGCTTGCAAGCTTCATACATCGTCCGTCAATCTCAAATTCGATATCTTACTTCAGAAGTTATACACAGCTGGGGGACGGCCAAGATAACTTCAGCTCTGGAACGTTAGTGATACAGAGAGAAACCACCTCCTCGAGTTCTTCAGTCCGAGCCTTGGGTCATGCCGAGCCCGGCACGTGTTAAACGTAGATCAACAATGTTTGCGATCTATCAGATAATTTGGTGCATACATATTTATCGGCTTATCGCTGCTACTGAATACAATTAACCATTCGAAAAATTCTAGAATGTCGTAGCGCAGACCCACGTCTACTCACGCGAGCCACATCGTCGTATGTAAATCTGCGGCAGGACGAACCAGTTTCTGTCTCTGATCGATGTGAGGTCGATTAGACTGCAACTGCGTACCGGACGAAGATCGGCGGGCCAGATCGTACAGTGTGACGACGACGACGACGACGAAGTCGCGGCAACGTAAACCAGCGTGGAAAAAACGACGCGGAGAGTTATAGCCGCCGATATAACGGGTGGAAGGGCCCGACGTCTCTCTGCTTGAACAAGCGGCAGCGACAGCGATGGCCTCGAGGGCCGAACGTGGCGGAGAAGCGGAATGGGAGATCCCCGACTGCGATCGCGATAAGATGCAGCGGCGTTGTCGGTTGACAAAGGGTCGTAGGAACGCCCACTCAGATCGGACGCACAACCGCTTGCGGGGGCGTCCATATTAAAATCGGCCACCCGTCCCTCCCTCCATTCATCCCTTTTTCCACCCGTCGTACCCCACCATCGACCGGTCTCGTGATCTTGTTTATTACCCGCGTGTACATATCCGTTGCCAGAAAATGCGGCCACCCTTATTCAAAGTATGTTACAAGTGCTGCTATCGGTTCGGAGTGGCTATATTCAAATGAATGTTTGACATTGTATTATTGCAATATCCGATCTCGTAATTCTATTATAATTGATACGTGATTATAACTTGTACCGCAGAAAGATAACAAGAATAAAAGCCAAAGTGCTATTATTTAGGGTTCTTAATAGCTTCTTTTCTTATATCTTAATAGAAGATATTAAAATAATTTGCATGAAAAATATTTAAAGTACAAACTATTTTTCTAATTAAAAAACTGTATAGAGTCTTGTTTAATGATTTTGATGAAATGTCAGTTTAATTGCTAACGCTCTGGGCAAACAAACAAATTGTAGCGAAATATAATAAAAAATATACTTGCAGCTGAGTCTAATCATGATTATTCATACATGTGTGATAATAGTGAAAAGATATATTTGCATGCAAATTTTATATTTATACAATATTATATTATATTTATACAATACTTCTTCCACAAGAGTATGTAATAACATGTAATGATAAAACATTCACAACTACAGAATCTAACTATACCGATAGCAAACACTTGAAACCTTGATTTGTGCTGCACTCTGGAAACAATTATCTTAAACCATTTCGATATGTAGATAAATTTGTAGGATAAAAGATAAATATATTGAAGCAATCATTTTTGAAGTATGTTTTAAAATATACTGATAGTTTCGACAATACTAGTTTTGCGTTTCAAAATTATATGTTGAATGTTTTATAATAAAAATTAGTTTTCTATATAGGGGATTGTGATTCCAACTGATGTGGGACAATGTCCCTAGATAACACTTGTGGTCCTGTTCTTTTTAGCTGCACTACTGAACTGGTGCAATAAGTTAAAGTGAGAAAAAATATAGTTGTCTCATTCTAACTTATTGCACTAGTTTCGCAGTGCAGCTAAAAAGAACAGACTATTGTTTTTCGTTGCCCTTAGTGCATTCAGCCAAATTTGTCACGGTCCGCCGAAAGTCCTAGTTACTATTGGTCGCGTTCAGAAGAGAAGTTGTCAAGCGCTTAGTGATTGCTATCTATGATTGGAGTCTTCTCTTAGATCTTGGACGGATCCAGGAGAATGAATCAATCAGGAACGATAATTACTACGCATTTGGTAAAGCCAGCGGCACACGGTGCTTGTTTTCGTGCTGGGTTGCTTGCTGGATGAAAATACTGCATTCTGATTGGTGCATTTCCATCCATCTTCGGAAATGTACCAATCAGAACGCAGATTTTCATCTAACAAGAAATGCAGCACAAAAACAAGCACCGTGTGCCGCTGGCTTAAGCTTTTCTGTGCTGAACGCAGCTGTTTGGTCTGTTCTTTGTAGCTGCGCTGCTGAACTGATGCAATAAGCTAGAATGAGAAAACCTATATTTGTCTCACTTTAACTTATTACACCAGTTCAACAGTGCAGTTACAAAGAACAGATCACTGGTATCATTAGATGCGGAACCACGTGAATCTGTATCCCTCAAAGAGAGTTGTAGAAAGAAAGAAGATAAAATCTGTGAAACTGAATACCGACTTGTATATAAATCCTAAAGATTGCCGAATTTGTTTTTATATTATTATATATATATTTCTTCAATCATACATATACGATAAGGATGTTTCCACAAAGTACACAAAAGAAATGCTGGATGTTCAGCGACGAAACCGAATTAACTACATTGAGAGAGAAAACTAACGCTGACTTTATTGCAAAACATGGAACTAACATGACTGTAAGTTTTTATTTTTGTTTCTTTCCTCTGTTCATATCTATATCATATAATTGAGGAAACCAATATCCATATCAACGTCGGTGTCGAAAATTTAAGTTATATATATGTAATAGCTATTTGCTAAATTGATAAATTTATTATATATGATATAATAATAATCATTCAATTATAACAAATTATTATCTAAACCAAATTATTATCTGAATAGGCAGAACAAAAGGAAGAACATTTCCTTTCACATACAGAAGAACGTACATTACTTCGATTCTATGAATTGCAATTGAGGGACTTTTGTCGACGTTTCAACCCACCAATGCCACGTGCTACCATAGCTACTGCCTTACACTATTTTAAAAGGTTTTATCTTGGAAACAGTGTAATGGATTATCATCCAAAAGAAATCTTGGTTACTTGTGTTTACCTAGCGTGCAAAGTAATTGTTCTTTTAGTATATTAATATTTTTTCGCAATATTGATAATTTCAATTCTATTATACAAATATTCTATTTTAGGTTGAAGAATTTAATGTTTCAATATCCCAATTTGTAGCAAATATTAAAGGAGATAGAGGAAAAGCATCTGATATTATTCTAAATAATGAATTGCTTCTAATGCAGCAATTGAATTATAATCTCACTGTTCATAATCCATTTAGACCTGTGGAAGGAATAATGATTGATATAAAGGTATGTAATTATTTATCAAATATGTTGCAAATAAATCAGTAAATAAATCATAAGTATTTTTGTAGACAAGGTATTCAGGTTTAGATAATCCTGAAAAATTAAGGCCATATATAGATGACTTTTTAGAAAGGATTTTCCTGACAGACAGTGTCCTTCTTTATGCTCCAAGTCAGGTTGCATTGGCTGCAACTTTACATGCAGTATCCAAAGCTTCTGCAAGCTTAGACAACTATGTTACTGACATATTGTTTGCAAGGGAGCAGTTAGGCAGAATTATAGAATCTGTTCGCAGTAAGTACAACTTATATATCACAAACATTTGCATATTTTTTATATATGAGTTATTTATATCTAATAATTTACACAGAAATGCGTTCAATGGCTGCCAAATCTGTACCTCCATCACGAGAAGTAGTAAGAGCATTAGAAAAGAAATTAGATAAATGTAGGAATCAAGAAAATAATCCTGACAGTGAAATGTAAGTATATGATAGTGAAATATAAGTATATTTGTATACACAAATTTAATGTTATTATCTCTGAAAAATATTATTGGTACGACATGTGAATTTTAGATACAAACAAAGAATGCAAGAAATGCTAGATGAAGAAGATCTGCAGGACAATGAGAGATATGCAAAAATTATTCAAGATCAAGCAGCACATGATGAAAAAATTTTGGGAGTTGGTAAAATACTATCTCCTTCTGCTGTGTAATAATAAACATAAATTTTGTATAATGATTATAATAAAAATCTTATACAAAATGTTATTTTAAATGTCATCTGCATATTGCATACATTCTTTTGATGTAAAACTTTATAAGATTAGATTTTATTCATTTTTTCTTTTTTTTAATTGTATTTTTAATCGTAAGCGTTATACTTTAAATTTACATTTAGAAATTAATATTAAGAAATATTTATTTTAACATGTACTATATGTATCTTTATAAATGCATATATAAAGAAATATCAATTGCACATAATACTTATTATAGACTTATTATTTTTATATGCCCCCTATACAATTTATATTGCAGAATTTTATATAACGAATATATTCATAGACAATTATGTTTTAAAACATAAATAACAATTTATTTATACGAGTATATTCTTTGTCGAAAATCAGCTGTAATGCATTTACGTAAAACATAATTTCAAACCAATACAAATTAAATGGAGCACAGATATATGTTTATGTAATATGCCTATCTTTTATAATAATCCTTTGGAATCCTATTTACTTGTTTAGTATTTAAACAAATTATAATAAAACATCTGTTTTTATCAAGTTTAGCATTACGCCACATTACGCATATTAGACAATAGTATTATTAATGTTTCTCCACCATCGATGGATGCACCTGTATAAAACTAAGGATCATGGTGCCTGAAGTCCAGTCTTTGATTAAGATGATGTGTAATATGATTGGTTGGCATATTTTGGAAGATAGACGTTTGTTGTCTCATTGACAAATTACTGGGTAGTGGTTGTACAATAGGCAATGCAGGATGCAATGGCAACGGCGTTAAATGCTGAGGGAAAAGCGGTACTGCTGGCTGTGGTTGTGCTGGATAATTAAAAAACCTAGAAGAAACATATTATTAACATACTATATATGTAAAATGTGCCTGAGATATAATTTATATTTGCATTAATGTCAGATTAGACTATTACCACAATCGATCTCCAACAAAAATGGGACGAGGTGCTGGAATTCCTAGACTCGAATAATATTGTTGTGCCAACAATTCAACGTCATTAGTATATTTCCTCTTCCACTTGGTCCGTCTATTTTGGAACCATATCTTTATCTGTCAAAGTTGAAGTCGAAGGTTATACAACTTAAACTGTAAGCGATATAGGATAATTTAATACACATGCGTAATCGCAAAAAATTATGTTGATTCTTTTGATTCTCGAATAAAAAAAAAAAGAAACGCTTAATTGTTTAATATCAGTGTGACAATTAACATTATTATGATTAGCCTTTATCAATATACAATAATTACTGTTTTATAAGAGAATTGTTTCTTAGAAGGGAAATTAAGCTACTATAACGGAATGTCTATAAGTCAATTATAATTTTTAAGTTGTATTCAAATTTATATTATTAAAAATTTTATATAAAAACGTGTAATCTCTAGGTTTGGCCATTATAATTTATCGTGACTGGAGTGTAAAAATATTTGCCCCGGGTGAGGATCGAACTCACGACCTTAAGATTATGAGACTTACGCGCTGCCTACTGCGCTACCGAGGCTCTTGGAAGCTTGGCTTTTCTAATCAAGAAATTCCTAGTTGCACTTTTTACATATATGTCACAAGTGTAAAAGAAGTGTTAAACAAGTGTAAAAGAAAAAAAAACTTTTTAAATAATATGTTATATTGTTTGAGATAGTCTGAAAAAGTGTTCATTTTTCATATAGATTATAGTGAAACAAAATAAGTGTTGGCATGTACTGATAAATAGTCATTTGATAATACAATACAAATCATTATTTACAAAACTTATCGATCGAAATTGCAACAACTTTTCTCTACGACAATATGAATTTGAGAAACTCAGGCGGCAGTGTCACGGAAAATATCCGCACCGAGAGCCATTTTACTTAGCAATAACACATTACGAAGCAGAAAATGCAGAGCATACAACATTGTTCCTCGTATAGAGGGGTCTAAATTCTTCTGAAGACTTAAATCTTTCCAGAGATATAGCCGGCTCGCGAGTGTATCCAGTCACAGCCATGTATCCTAATTAAAAAATCGACGCCTCTCCGGTTCGTCGCCTCGACGGCGCGCAGCAGCCGTCGCTCGGTACATTTCATTCCGCCGCGGATGCAAGCTGCGCGACGACGGGACGTATGAGATAGGCGTGCGAGAAGAGGAGAAAAGGGGCCCCCCCGAACCGGCTCGTTAACTCTGAGAAATATTGTGACAGTTATGTCTACGGCACGACGCGTCTCTTTCTTGCCTCTGATCCGTCCTCCGATCGTTCTCCCTTTCGGCCGCGATCGCGGGGATAATTATCCGGCTCGTTCGCGATATTTCGGCCGACGCTGGCGATTATTGCCGACGAGCAACGAGCCGGCGATGACGGCGTAACGCAATCTCCGCGATGGTGAATATCCTGGGTGCGTGCCGTAAATTAATTAGTTTAGAGGGCATGCGGGTATAAAGCGCACGCTACAAAGTGAACGGCCCGAGACGTTATGCAACAGCGTCTTCGCACTTCGCGCGACGCTTTGCGAGAGCATCGGTCATCTGGAGGAATTGCAGCACTCTCGCGGATTAATCGTGGAAGATAATGCCCGTTGAGAACACACGGTGAATTAAGGTCGATGCAAAAATCGAAGTAAACCTCTCGTGGCTGATGTAGAGGGAAAATTATTCTATTTCCTTAAAGATGCGCTACAATCCAATTACTTAGAGAACATCACATACGGGACGCTTATATTGAGTAAACAATAAACGCTGTCGCATTTATTGGTTCGATAATTTTTTTGCTTATGCTATTTTTTACGTGACGTACCAGTTCCATGTTCTATATACTATCTTTGCAAGGTTCCCTTGTGCTTAACTTGAAGCGTGTTGCATGACGGAAATCTGGGTCCATTAGATACGCGAAAAAATGCCCTTGACAAGATTGAATACTGGGCCAGAAATTCCTGTCCAGGGCAGTTCGCTGGAAAGAAGGGTGTGCAAATGCTAATTGGTCTTAAAAGGACAATCCTCCCCCATGGCGCCATGATCTGGCGCCTGAACACATGGCGCTCCATAGGCCCATAATTTAGAGTCAGTTGATTTTAAGGAACTCGAGGTACAAGGCACCCAAACTCCTTCAGGTGCTGAGGAAAATCGACGGAAGTCGAAGACGCTGTCGCGATTTATCGGGCGCACATCCTGTGTGGGTCGTGATATTTATACATATTCTGACTTCTTCCTTGCTTTGCTCTAATTAAATTTGTTTCTGAACGAATGCGTGCACGAGTGGCTCCTAGTTACCGTTGGGACGAGGTAAAATCGGCTCTATGATGCAACTTCCTCGAGGGGAAACAATTAACATACCTGCGTTTCCGTGAGCTTTAAGCTTTTGCTCAACTGCAGCCGCTTCGCCACACTCAGGTATTTGTTCCTCTCAAATTCTGCCTCCAAGGACTTAATCTGCGCGGCAGTGAACGCAGTACGCGGTCTCTTCTTCCTCTCGTCGTCGCTAATAGCGCCGGCGTTCTTCTCTTGGACGTCTCTGTCTGTTGCTGTGGTGGAATTCGCGCCGCTGCTGCTGGTGCACACTTCTGTAACAATGTTTCGCATTCTTATGTCGCTGAGGAACACCAGTAACATGACTTTGTCGAGTTGTACCCCTTAAGTACCCCAGTGTATCCTGCAACCGATTAGCAACAGTACGAGTGCATCAACGGTACGACGACATTTATGACATCACGGAGGTGAAATCGAGCGTTACTCAGCGAATGCGCTTTTTCACGGTCGAATGTCGGTGAATGTCAGTAATAAGCTATCAAACGCGGTTTGATTGAGTAACTGCAAATTACAAAGCGCTGCATGTCGCCCGACGTCGAAATGAGAAAGTGTCACCACAACGGTGTGTGCGCGAATAATTGCCGCAAACATCGAGATCGCGTCATCATTCACGCGAAAGTCGTTACTTTCGTCGTGAACACCGTATTCTCTTCATCCTTTTAATCGCTTTTGAATGAGCCTATGCCGTCGAGAGTGCAAGCGGCCTCCAATTATCCCCGTGTGGAATCCTCTTCCTCATCAATCTCGGGACTCTCTTTTTTCGTCCGTCGAACTTGTTTATATTTATATTTATCCCGGCTTACGAGGAGGCCGTACACATGACGTCGCGTCGCACGTCGTGAGGAATGCCTTCGGACTCGCTTTCAGGCGGCTGGTAACAAGACTACGCTCTTAAACGCTGGAGGATCATCTTCTAATTATCTGCCCATTCGTCATCCGACGAAAAAGCGTAGCATCGCGACGACCGAGTGAGTTTCTACGGAACACTTGCGACTAACGTTGGGAACGTTACCAATGCTGATATTACTGAGATTTAGCTCGCCACTCCTTGCGAGCTACGTGTCCTTCAGTAATATTCTTTTCCAGCAAAATATGTTTATTATCTTCCAGACAATAGTCTGGTATGAAATATATGAAATATCTGCTTAAAACATAAATATGCAAAAAACATCGTCTGCTGTTTGGAAAACGGCAAAGAAGTTGGTTATTGCAACAATCATATAAAGAAAATTAAGCATGTAATACGAAAATGAATTGAAAATCTCGAGGATCGAGATTGAAATGGAGAATCCGACTTTGAGGAAACAAAGCATTTTCCTCTGTCCTTCCTCCGACCATCTGGGCTCATTCAGCATTAGTTATTTCGGTGTGTCGATGAATCGGAGGCTATCCAACTTGGGAACAGAAGAAGATCAATTTAAATGGCCCCTCTTGGGCTGCACCGGCAATAAATATCCCGAAAAAAACTATTCACGGCGGAGTCGTTCAGAGGAGCGCCGTTTACTGGCTACTAATTGTCAGATGGCGACGTAATTGTCGCGTTTCTCGCGCGTTTTTCGTGCTTTCCTCGCCTACAGCCGTAGTACAGAATCGTCGGCTAAAACCGTACCGCCTCTAATTCACTCTGTGCGTAACACGCTACTGACGTGCGTACTCGATGCAGCTCTTCGCTTTCGTGTTTTCAAAAGAGGATTATGATGGCCGTTGAGACAGCACTCTCGATATTTCGCACTTAGATCATATCGTGCATATTCGTGAAACTTTCGAATATAATATCGAGAAATAAATTTACGCTTGTGGTTCGTCGCGACATTATGAAAATGTGCATACCGTCTTTGTCCCCATTGATTTGTTATTGAATAAACAAACATTACACGTATAACACAAACAAGAAGTAACCCGTTTCCCCGCAATTGTATTCGCTTTCTATTAAAACATACAAGTGGAATAAAAGAAACCGAAAATAGCGAATAATATTGTATTCAATGAAAACGAATCACTTGTCAACTAAATGACTAAAATGATTGCCTCCTCGTTGTTTATGATCCTTCATGGATAGAAACGAAGTTGAATCAAACTTTTTGTCTGATCTTAATACAAGTGGTTATTCTTACCACTACAGTCGAAGATATAAAATTGTTCATTATTATCGCTAACATGTTAGTAATTAAATTCAACGGATGATTCTTCTAGCAACATATACAATATGCGACGTACGTGAGATCGTCGCGACTTGCTCGCAACCGGAAGCATGTGCAGAAGAAAAGAGTCTGCAAGGCGTGATTCCCGCACGGCTCATTTGTCGTCGGATTTCTGACTCGGTTGCATCGACGAATGAGCTCTCGGAAGGAGCAAGAAAGGATTGGTGTAGAGGATACGGTCGCAAAAAGGAGCCGACGACAGGGAAGGGCAAAGGGGAGTGAAGCTTGAGAAGCAGAGACGCGTTGAACGTCGCGGAAATAGAATACCACACCCTCTAGTTTTCCTAATTGCTGCGAGCCGCGGCGAACTTGTCTCCTAATTATTCGGTGACGAATGGCACGAGAACGCGCAGTCCACGATAAAGCGCGGCTAAATCTCATTCGTCTGACGTTACCTCCGATTTCATGCTTGCCGTCATTCGTAAGGATAATTAATTTGTGCACGAGCCGCAACGATTGGCAAATCTGGCTCGGAGATAATTCGACGAATAGATCCTTTGTTACGAGCTCATCTCAGTCTAAGAGCTTAACATCTCGACATTAATTTATATATATATATATATATATATTTTTTTATATTAAAGAAAATTTAAGAAATCCCTTAAATTACTCATTAAAGTCAAACGTGCTTGGCCAAAATAGTAACGTAACGTATTACAAAAATTGAAGTTTGGTTAATTTCAATTTTTACACCCGGTTATCCAATTATCGTGAAAATTATCCAAATCGCCTCGAGTATCGCCTGCTTCCTCAGAAAACAAAACGGAAAATCAGTCGATATAAATTTAGTTGCTACGGAAATTATTAACAGAGAACAGATGGATATTACTCGAGTATTTCGGGTAATACCGCGCGTTTAAGTACCAGGTGGACACCTAGACATCCGGTTATATAAACACCAGCCGGTTTACTCTGACAGCATTAATACGAAAGTAAAACTGTTGTCCAAATCATAATGGGCCCGTTCAAGAAGAAACGCTTTTCTCTCGCGTCGTTCCTCGCTCTTTATGCTGTTCCCTCACGAAAATTTACGCACCACGTTGACGGCTTTGTAGTTGGACGCGACGTCCCACATATCTCACTCGCAACGCACGACGCAAACGACGATTGTCCTTTCCTTAGATCTCGGATTTATCGCTTTGCCCATTACGACGTATAAATCATGGCGCAGAGTCGTGCCCTCGCATGGAAATTAGTCGTTGCGACCCTTCAGATTCCGCAAAATTAAATCGCTCGACTCTTGTATTAATTATCCGTAAATCGCGGACAAGATCGTTCTCCACTGTGTCGTATGTCTGCTAAAATGTATTCAAGACAACTCTGATTTTAGAGACAGTGTTATTGCTGTTGTGTCCTGAGAAGGAACATCCTCGAAAATAACTTTAGGCGAAAGAATTACAGTGACGAGCAACTAATGGTGTTCACATCGTAGAATGGCTAGCCAACAATAACTACAACATCGTGAAGGGACCCTTTCAGAATAGTTCATAAATTTCGCACGAGAATATTCTCCGGGAAAAGTGGTCATTTCTACGTGAAATTTCATACCGGGGAGCGTTCATTTCTTCGGAACAATTTCTGGGCAATTTAACACATTCCGAAAGAGATACGTTATCGTTAACGAAAGTCTCGAGAAGAAGCCTCACTAGGGTATCGGTCTTTGAAATTTTATTGCAAGCAAGACAGCAGGTCTTGCTGCACTTCCATGACAGAATTAGCAGGAGACAAATAAATAGTGGACGAAGAGCAGAAACATTGAGTGGGCGTGGAACCTGCAGGAAGTAATGGATCAAACTCACAGGCGACAGTCCTCTCCATGCGATCTTACGAATTCGTTACCGCAAGGAGTCACATATGGATTTTATAACAATTTGTTCCTCTGGCACTCCGTAATAATGTTGCCAGCTAACCGATGCAAAATCGGTTTCGGCGGATGGTAATATAATTCTCGACGGCCTCAAAGGCTTCAAATAATCTATGGAGATCTTACGACACACGCACACTTGCGCCGTCATTAGTTAAGAAGACTATTTTTGCTTCTTATTAACACCGTCGAGATACTTGCGGATAGCACATCGTAAAAGAGGATTCGAAACTTCCGTTCGTGGCTGTCAAGTTAATATAAAATAAAAAGAAACATATAAAAGAAGCTGTCACTATCATTCTCCAAAATAAGTTATCTTCAATTTTCATGATTTATTAAATATATCTTTTTTGAAGTCTCTCTTTTGAAATCGCAGCTTCTCAAAGAAATATTATTTGCCGATAATTTGCCTGCAATTAATAATATAAAGAATTATATTTTCAGATTGTACCATTCTTAATGGAATTATTAATGCATGGAAGGACTATACGATATAGAAATCTCTTTTCAAATAAAATAAAATTGCACAGGCGTCATGAAGAGTAGATTAATCTCTCTCTCTCTCTCTCTCTGACATGCCGCGCGTCAGTAACATTTTACGATTGAAACTCCGTTTCAATCGTAAATTACCGATGTTTATGGTGAAGATAACTTTCTTAATCGTTTGATTTGAGAAGCCAAATATCTATGTTAAATGCTTTCACGACGATAAAGTAACGGCATTCTCGGCTGAGATAACTTTGTTAGCTATTATCAACGTATTCAAACATTCCCGAAATCTTTATTCATTCATTTTCGCTTGAAATGTCTTTATTAAGCGGATGATTTAACAAAATAAGCACAGATGTTCGACACTTGTGTAACGTGCACATTTTTCCGTCCCAGGGTTGGCGTTAACACAAATATATTGACGATTCGAGGATTTGTTGAATATCAAAGAAATATACATACGGACTCTTTTTACGGAAAAAGATTCATACTGAGAGATAAAATATTTTATCGTAAGCATTTATCGTCTGAAAACTCAATTATGTTTAATGATACTCTAATGAAACTCACCGTAATACATGTCTGGTTCCGGAGATGTCGAGCAAACCATATCGGCATCATCAAGCTCAATTTCCTCCGCTATTGACATGGATGAATCGGGAGCGACAAGCATTCCCGTGTCCGATTCCTTACCTAGCAAATATATGCAACTATTTTGTAACTATTTTGCTTCGTGCTCATTATAGGTTTTGATATGCCTAGATCATTGCCTATTCAAAAACTTTTCAAATAAGAAGAAAATATATATTGTCATCCTTAAACAAGAGTTATCTTCTGTTACATAACAAAAAGATAAATTATTGATTCATGCTTCAAAAGATTATATTTTGTAGATTATTAAATTGAAAAATTAGATAAATAAATAATAAATTTTATTATCTACTCACATAGAAAACTCTACATACATAGAAAATTGTGTAAAGAAGCTTTCAACAATGATAAAATAATGTAAGGAAGTAATAAATAAAAGTGAACACAAAGTATTCCTTTCTTTAGAAATGTTTAACAAAGTTTAGTTGTAATAAATCAAGATATGTATTTTGTTATACTACTTACTTTCTTGGCAATGTGGGGACAAATCGGTCTGCTGTAGAAACTTATTTTCTTCTTCATTTTTCTTGTTTGGTGCTAATAATCTTTCGATACTGAAAGAACACACCTTTGGATTTTCCGCGGGATCGTTTGCTTCCCTTAATAAATCGGATTTTCTAAATTGTTCATCGGACATCTTGAAGTTATTTAGGTTGAGATAATACTCAGAAGTGTTCACGTTTATTAGTAGCATTTATCTCAAGTCTTCATAGCCTTTCAAATAACTGTCTCGCGAACGTTAAAATGGTATATGTTAATTTCTCTTCTTTTTTTCACGATACTTTTTCTCAAAAGTGTTGCTTTAGTTCGCAGTCATTCACTAGTTTCCTTTAAAGGAAGGAACTCTGCTTTTATACTTAACCGACGTGTAACGACTTAAACACCAATTAAAACCAACTATAAAACTGCACTAAGATGTAATTGCGCGACTTCAATATGTCACACTACGGTTTGTTTTCACGAAATCCTGCACAGACATCGCACATTACACTTAAATTGAAACGAAACACGGAAAAAGAAGGAAAACATCGATAACTGAAACGAACAGATAGTAAAGCTGGCTACATTGATACCCCTTGATCTGTTGGAGAGATTAGAGCCGAAACCAGCGACTTGGGGTTGCACACGGTGTTCAACAATATTTTTTTGGCACACAAGTCAAATTCTTCGTCCCTCGAGGCGGTATTCCGGAGCCACGTGCTCACAACGTCATCATAAGACCGACCAATCGCGCCATCCTCTGGGCGGGTCTTGGCAAGCACGTGCGTTTCTGGAAGGAGCTTTTAATGATCTCGTAGTGTGAGACGGTAGCGACCACTAAACGGTGGTAATGAGGTGACCATAAATTTCTGTCACCGCCTTGGAACGCCGTTTAATAATCGTGATAAGTAGCAGACGCGATGTGAAATTGATTCAGTTATGAAGCCCAACGACTTAATACAGTTATCGTAAATCGTAACTAAAGCAAGAATGCGTGTAGACAATTTAAATAATCACGATCGAATTAGCCTCGAGTCGGAGAAATATCTTCGCTCCTTTGGGATCATTATTATCTGGCAACAACTCTCTGGTTGATCGGTACAGTTGAAGATATGAACGCTTGCAAAAAGCCACGTAGATGATCCTACGCTGAAAATAGATATTTGAAATAATGACTTGGCAATTGATTCGACAACGTGAGACCACTTAACAATACGTTCGACAAATGTATCTGCGTTTCAGAAATCGCTATTTCGGTGGCCATTTGGCGCTGGCGGTTATTGCGACGAGAAACATTTCTCCCATGTGGTGCACATATTCACGGATTACCGTATATAACAATGAGATCATTTCAAGTACACTCAACAAACATGAAAAACTGGATTTTCCACTAGACATCAAAAAATAGTTTGTCACAAATATAGGAAAATTTACATCGTACTACGTTTTAGTGAATTTCTTCTTGCGTACAATTAACTGTTGATTTTCATGAGATTATTAAATATTCAATTGTATATTGTATGTTACCATAGTACGAATTAATGAAAGAATTCACGTAGATTTGCTCTGATCATTATGCAGCACTCATTCTCGCATACTTTGTGTAAAACTCTTTATTAAGTTCAATGGACTTTCAAAAATGTAAATCGAAACTTTCGCAAGTACGACATTGTTATCCTTGTTAAAGAACAACGTTAAAGAACAACTCCTTTTTGTCACTCCAGCAGAGTGAAATCGTTTGATTTATCACGAGGATTGAAATTATGTGACAATGTTCTCTAGAAGCACTCGGAGGGTGTGACTAAGATATCACGTTACCGATATATGTAATACCGCTCTGATGGTTTCCGTGATGTCTTATGGCCAGAAAGCCGAAACCTTTGCAACAGCTAGCAAACCAAAATGTTTGTTAATTTCACACTTAATTGACAAGTGGCTATTGACAGTCAAGATGGTCGTAAATTTTGGCTTTTTCTAAATGTGTCCGCCGCATAATGCGGCATGAAGCGACAGATCTCTGGCGTTTGTTTTCTCTTGCCTTGAACATATTTTTGGAATCATATTTCGACACACGAAAAATCTCCACATTGCAATTTTGTGTTAGCTGACATCATATTGTATTCTAAGTTTCAAGAGAGAAATAATTGAAATATAATTTACAATTGATCGAGAATATTTCGCAACAAGCGTCTTTAGTAACAGCATAACTTTTCAGATTTAGGAATTTATCGAATTTTTCTATGTTCGAATCTTGTTCTCAATAATTAAACACATATGCGCTATGAAAAGGTATAGAAAGATATACAAATAATAAAGTGACATAATATAGAACAAGAAAGAACAAAGTGACATTCTTACATTATATATATGAGGGATTAAGAAAAAAAAGACAATGTCTTAAATTGGTTTATATTTATTTATTTTAGGCATCGACAAACCAAATCCTTTGTATCTTGTGCATTTATTACCATCAGAAGTAAACATTCCTACTTATTATTAAATTCACATGAAGACATTTACATAGGCGAATTGCAATATTCCATATACTATCTTAATTCGTAATCACACTCCTATTGTATTATTGTGAAACAGTGAATAATATAAAATTGATATAGCCTAGAAAGTGTGGACAAAATATATTCTATTATTGAAACGATGTAATTAGCATCTGCTGTCCAAAATCGAAAACAAGAGATTAAATTTGAAAAATATAAAAAAAGAAATTGATGTTATTGTTAAACTTCAAATTTATACAAGCCAATATAATGAATGCTACATTTCAAATTTAAAAAGTCAACAAACATTCACGAGATTTTCATAATTCGCTGATATTTACGAAACTTGTTACATTTGGTCCATATATCACCCATTACTCGAAGGTTCCACGATTTATTTTCATGATTTTCATTTTTTTCAAGTATATTCTATCCATATTAATTGCGTTATGTCAGAATGTATTGAGTCACTTTAAATATCATGTTAGCATAATTATATGCGTATTAGCATTATAATACACGTTTTTCAGAATGCAATAAAGCATTTTAATAAACGTTAGGTTTTGAAGGCAATTTAAATAAGTGCCACCTTGTATATGCTGACAATGAAATATTGTTTACCGAATATTTACCTTCACGATATTTCTAATCCGTATATATATTTAAATATTAATACTAAAACACATTTGTCAGAACATGTGGCTTGCGTGAAAAATATATGTTATAAATAATTTTTAGTGTTGCTTAACAATGAAAAGTGTTGGATATCAATTGCACCATAGCATTTATATATTAAGATTAATAAAAAAATTCGATTGGTTGCGTGACATGAATTAAATTTTCATTAAGTTACATTTGTTGTGTAGAGTTACCGTTCCAAGTGTTATTTTCGTCATTATCATCACCATCTGAATGCAGTCTGTGTATATTTCCTCGAGCCCTGATTGTCGTTCCTTCTCGATTACCCAAATATCTTCTAACCAAACTGCATTATGAATAGCAATGTTTAATATATCGAAACTTTAATGTACCTTGTAAATTTGTTATATTACAAGTGCAAGTGCATACAACCGTATAATCGTATTTGTAAAACTATTTAACGCAATTATTATAAAACCTACCCCGATGATTCAGCTACATTTTGGCGATTCGGTGGAGTCGCTCCATCAGCGCTTCTTGTTTCTCTATTATTGCTGTCGGAATTACTTCGTTGGCGATCTGTATTTCTGTTAGTGCCAAAGAAATAACCTATTATGACAAATATGAAATTATAAACGGGCGTAAATAAAGGCCACATATATCGAGATAAAAAGCCAACGTCCTGTGCCGATGTGACCGTTGTTGCAGCATTCGACTGAAAACGAAGATATAAAGTAAGCATATGTGTTATATTCTACTAATAAGAATCTAATAATCGTATTTACATTTTTCAGAGGAAGAATTAAAATAACGGCAGTTGGGACTAGTTCTAGTTGTAGAAGGGTCTTGTCGTCTTCTTCGTCAGTCAATATCCTTCGAGGAAATGACGTAGACATAGAGAATTTACGAAAGGGTAGTTCAATATTTCCGATCACGTAATCGCGTAAAGTGCGTAGAGTGCTCGATGGTTCAAACTGTCCTGTATGAGAACTACCAGAGGGTAATCTAAATTGAATTCTGGTTACAGTCGCGTTACTAGGTACTGGATTTTGCTTAGGTTGCTCTTGTTGAGACTGCTGCTGTTGCTGCAACTGTTGCTGTTGAGTAACATTGAATATATTTTGAAGTAAATTTCAATTTAAAATATAAATTAAATATTAATGACTAAACCAGTACCTGCAGTGCAAGCTCTTTTTGTTTCCGCTCCAATTTGTCTTGAACAATTTGTTGCTTAACTTTTTCACGAGCTGCTGCTTCAGCAGCCTTTTCCCGCATCCTTTCCTCGCAAGCTTGCTTCATCTCCAAATCTTGCTGCATTTGCCGCATTTTTTGCACATCACGTCCCCTCTTGCGCCTTTCAATCTCCTGTTCTCGTTCTTTTTTCAGTTCCTCCTCTAGTCGTTGTCTTCGTTGAAACTCCATTATTATCTGAGCTCTTTCTAGCTTCTCCTGTAAATTTATGCATAACAAATGTATAAATTATTGTTTAGCAATTATGTCGTTAGTTTTCTGTCATCATATTTATGTACATTGCACATACCTCTGCTGTTAATTCCTTAATTTGTATTCCTTGTTTGACTTCAATATTTTCCTGCGATGCTTCATTATTGTCTTTGTCTTCTTTGTTTAAAGAAGTTGTAGCCTTTACAGAATCCTCTGCAACATCTTTACTATTTGAGATGTCAGCTGTCGTGGATGCATACACTGAGTCTATATTTGAATTACATTTAACATTATCTATGTTAGATTCAGCAGATTCAGTAGCAACATCTTTATTATTTGAGATATCAGCTGTTGTAGATTCATACGTCGAGTCTATATTTGAATTACATTTAACATTATCTATGTTAGATTCAGTAGATTCAGCAGATTCAGCAGCAGTATTAGTACTGCTACTAGCAATTGCAGCTTTCTGTTCTGCATCAATTAAGCTCAATGAAAAATTTTTATTCTTCTTTCCTGCTTGTATCAATACATTATTAATCTTTGATACTAAATCATCTGGAGTTATAGTACCAGCAATAATTTCCAATGGAGTACCATTTTCTCCAATGAAAAATAAAGATGGTACTGGTACTAATTGATCTGATGATAATTTTAAGGAAAATTTGGGAACACAAATTTGGCAATTTTTTTAGCATCTGAGTTTGCTGTAGTATTATTATAAATCACAAACTTTTATAGTTATATTTCCAAAAGCAAGTAGTCAATATTTTTTTTTAGAATATCTACATAATCTAAATTACAACAAATTTATAGGAAATTCATCTTATGAAACAACTAAAAAGATGTAATATTTTTATCAAGACTTATGTAAAAGGATACAGATCTGTACAAAAAATCCATAAGCTTCAGATTCACTCTCCACTCTGATAGCTACAAAATGCTCTTCCTCCAAGCAAGAAGAAACTTCAGGAGTATTAATTACCTGGCCAAGTTGTGCTGATGTGTCATCTTTGCCTACAAGGACATACCAAAGTATGATACAATCTAGATTTTTGCAAATATGCCTAATGATATTATAGCATCCATATTGTGCACTCTGTGTATTATCACGTACATGTAAGTGTTGCTTCTTTTAAATAAACAGAAAAATGTCCACATATAGACTCAAACCTAACCTATCTAGAACACTGTAGTTACGTACCTTCAACAAACACTACGAAAATTGCCTTCCTTGATTTTGACATTACAACCGCCTCATTAATACTTCCCACAAACCACTTCATTGTACAATGGAATTTATATATTCCGTTAATCTATCTTTTTCAATAATATTGTCATGCAATGACGTAATGACGGAAACTGCGTAGCGATCACCTGAAATTTTATGACAGATTTAACAGCTTACGTCCATGATGACAGAACTCTGAGTTCATGGACAACGATTTGTATACATAGCGAATCTAGATAGCGCTATAGTCGAGCGAAGTAAAATAAAGCCAGTTTGTATAATTGGTTGCGTCCAGAAAACAAAGCTCTCACTGAGCGCTTAGTAACTAATGGTCCTTACTATTAGATCCTTACATTCAGACCAATAATGTTGACGAATTACTTAACTGTTGTGTAACCGCTGTGTTTTCTGAACGCATTCACTGATTTATACCAACGAAGAACCTGAAAACGGCCAACACGGCGTTTTCGGCAACATCGACTTTTCGCACTGGGAAAGGGCGCCATCTGTATCCATTTTGAGAAGAGAACTACGAAATTACATCCCCTTTTAGGTTTCGACGGTAAAACACGCTTGTGGTGGCAGTCCGTGCTACATCCAATTACAGGCGGTTTATGTCCGTGCCACAACAATAAGCCTAATATTACATGTGTCGTACGACAAGCTTTTCGGATACAATGGCTGCATTCAGCAGACTCAACAGTTGGACAACATTACTAGATTTTCCACTGAATCTCGCTCCTGATTGGTAAATATTTCTGGGTCTATGAAGAATCTAAAAGAATGCTCCAATCACAGACAATAATCACTAAGCGCTCTCTGATCACTATGTTCTATTAAACGCGGCCATTGATTGGCGTACGCGAAGCAATCCTAGAAATATTCTGTTTGTTAACCAATCAACGTATTCGAAGAGATTGTCGTACGACAAATGTAATATTAGCTTAATAGTGTACACTCGCCGACATAAAGGTTTGTGCCCGTTTTTTTGTAACTTTCGGAACGCATCCCGACTCGAGAAGAATGAGAGTCACTGCTCCGCCTGCGGAGCACGCCTGCGCAGTGACTCACAACGAAAGGCGAGAAATGAAATATACGCTGTGGGACATATAATAATACAGACTCAGATGAAATTAATACTCTAGCATTAAATGGAAATGAGGGAACACAGAACAGACAAGAATCATCCGATGTAAGTCTTATACTCCGGGGGACATCCGAAAAAGGTAGAGATAAATAAACATATTTATGTTTTTAAAACAATACGAACTTAATTAAGAGAATTAAGCTGCATTACGATAGTTACGATTCTGTTATACATTTATATGTGATTTATTGTTTCAGCAACAGCCATCTTCTGTAGCAGAAAAGCAATGATATTAGATACAGAAGCAGCTGTTATAGCGAATTTTAAATTTTTGGGACATACAACATGGACATGGAAGAGGAAGGAGGTGGAGAGGATGAAATTTATGATGCAAATACGGATACCAAACCAAATAAAGTAACGTTTACCATCATCTTGCATTTTAATGATATTGTTCACGCTATTTGTTAACATAATTTCTTATTTTTCAGGCATCTCTTCGTTTCTGCTCTTCTTTTCATATCTTCTTCATTATATTTTCCTTTGTTCTCCTCAAAAACATATTTTGCCATGTGCGCATGTGATTACAAGATATAAGAATATTTCCATGTATCAATATATCTTCTCATATATAGACATAATAGAATGGATACAAATTATGAAGCTCTTCCTCTCTCGAGAGGGTTTTTTTCCTTATATTTTTATGTAATATGAAAAAAAAGATCGTGATGGCCGTGTAGACCAGAGCGGATATCAGAATATCAAAATACATGTTGAACCTCGAAGTGGCCAGGGTAGGCGGATTGCTGCCAATACCTTCGCTAGCTTTGTGCACATTCTCTCACTACTCCTTCTCCATCTCCTTGTTCTTGAAAAAGAGAGTAACGTTGGACAGCAGTGGCTTAACGAAGTACGAACGTTGAGAGCTCACGTTGTCTTGGACACATCTTTAGAGAAACGAAAGACCGGCTTAATGGATTTTGCCATCACTTGTACAACACTTCTGTCAGCGATTCGCTTACCTAATCAATTGGAGAACCGGATCACTTTCGCAGTTTATGAAAGCATCCGCCGAATGTATTCGTCACTATCGGTGGAAACGGGTAAGGAGGTATCAACGACGAAGGCTCGTAAGTAGAATTTAACGTCCAACTAGAAGTATAATAGCCACTGACCCTGTGTCCTAAAAGATCGCCTTGGGCCATGCTGTTTATTAGGAATAACTGCAACAGGATTGTATAATAATGCAAATGAAACACGTTCTGTGGTAAGTAATTCACTCTGCGGTTGAAGCTGTATCAAATATATACACAATTTTCGGTACCTGCTGTTGTATACTACTTCGCTTGCCGTTGCTCTTGATGCCGGAATCCTACCTGCTGCATATGGAAGAAGCGTGACTAATCGGTTCTTGACCAGATAATAAAGGAGTAGAAGGTACAGGGTTCGGATCCATCTCGACGCCATTGGTAAGAGGAATCTGCGGACGAAGTTAATCGTGACTGTCGAGAGACTACGAAATATGCTAAGTAGGGAAATGAAGAGAGCCACATACTCGTCTAAACCCATTGCACTCATCATACGTCTGAACTTCAGGTTTTGCTCGTCCCATGGAGATATATCTACCCTCCACTATCTCCAGCGGTGTCATCCACTCGGTTGTCCGTTGCATCTGCAAGTACTTCCACGGTTTGTTTCGTACCTTCTCCTTGCCGTAACTAACAGTGGACGTCGGGCTCTTATTTGAATCCACTTTTTCGTCTATATTGTAGCCGTCATTCTCGGAATCTAAGATACTCGGCAAGGAATTGGCTTTGATCCGGTAATTGCTCGTGTTGATGACCATGTGGAGGTGATGGTGCCGTGGCTCAACCTGAGTAAAGATCGACCCGTGCAAACGGCATCCAGCTGTGATCACGCGTTTCCGAGATATAAGCCACGAAAGACGGAAAAATAACAGACACGGAAATGAAATGTTAAATATCGAAATATGCATAATAAGGTTTTAATCTAGATCCAAAATAAGACAGATCCTCCCAAATTCTAACAAGGTCTGCCTATTCGTTAGCCAGAAATGAAAGCCGAAAGTTCCAGACCGATACAAAAATAACGTGTCACCGGACATAAGATACAAAATTATTTGTTATAAGATATTAATACAGGTTCCAAATAAAATTGATCCGTGCAAACAGCATCGAGCTGAGATCACACGTTTCTAAGATATAAGCCACGAAAGATGGAAAAATGACAGGCATCAAAATGAAATATTAATATGGAAATATGCATAATAATGTTTTAATCAAGACCCAAAATAAGAAAGATCTTCGCAAATTATAACAAGGTGTGCGTATTCGTTATTGAGAAATTAAAGCGGAATGTTCAAGACCGACCGGAGCGAAAATAACGTGTCACCGGGTATAAGCTACAAAATTATTTGTTATAAGACATTAATCTAGCTTCGAAATAAGATTAATCCGTGCAAACCGCATCGAGCTGAGATCACGCGTTTCTAAGATATAAGCCACGAAAGATGGAAAAATGACAGGCATGAAAATGAAATATTAAATATGGAAATATCCATTATAAGGTTTTAATCTAGACCCAAAATAAGAAAGATCTTCGCAAATTATAACAAGGTACGCGTATTCGTTATCGAGATATTACAGCGAAAAGTTCAAGGTCGACCGGAGCGAAAATAACGTGTCACCGGGTATAAGATACAAAATTATTTGTTATAAGACATTAATCTAGGTCCGAAATAAGATTAATCCGTGCAAACCGCATCGAGCTGAGATCACGCGTTTCTAAAATATAAGCCACGAAAGGTGGAAAAATGACAGGCATGAAAATGAAATATTAAATATGGAAATATGCATTATAAGGTTTTAATCTAGACCCAAAATAAGAAAGATCTTCGCAAATTATAACAAGGTACGCGTATTCGTTATCGAGATATTACAGCGAAAAGTTCAAGGTCGACCGGAGCGAAAATAACGTGTCACCGGGTATAAGATACAAAATTATTTGTTATAAGACATTAATCTAGGTCCGAAATAAGATTAATCCGTGCAAACCGCATCGAGCTGAGATCATGCGTTTCTAAGATATAAGCCATGAAAGATGGAAAAATGACAGGCATGAAAATGAAATATTAAATATGGAAATATGCATTATAAGGTTTTAATCTAGACCCAAAATAAGAAAGATCGTCGCAAATTATAACAAGGTACGCGTATTCGTTATCGAGATATTACAGCGAAAAGTTCAAGGTCGACCGGAGCGAAAATAACGTGTCACCGGGTACAAGATACAAAATTATTTGTTATAAGACATTAATCTAGGTCCGAAATAAGATTAATCCGTGCAAACCGCATCGAGCTGAGATCATGCGTTTCTAAGATATAAGCCATGAAAGATGGAAAAATGACAGGCATGAAAATGAAATATTAAATATGGAAATATGCATTATAAGGTTTTAATCTAGACCCAAAATAAGAAAGATCTTCGCAAATTATAACAAGGTACGCGTATTCGTTATCGAGATATTACAGCGAAAAGTTCAAGGTCGACCGGAGCGAAAATAACGTGTCACCGGGTATAAGATACAAAATTATTTGTTATAAGACATTAATCTAGGTCCGAAATAAGATTAATCCGTGCAAACCGCATCGAGCTGAGATCACGCGTTTCTAAGATATAAGCCACGAAAGATGGAAAAATGACAGGCATGAAAATGAAATATTAAATATGGAAATATGCATTATAAGGTTTTAATCTAGACCCAAAATAAGAAAGATCTTCGCAAATTATAACAAGGTACGCGTATTCGTTATCGAGATATTACAGCGAAAAGTTCAAGGTCGACCGGAGCGAAAATAACGTGTCACCGGGTATAAGATACAAAATTATTTGTTATAAGACATTAATCTAGGTCCGAAATAAGATTAATCCGTGCAAACCGCATCGAGCTGAGATCATGCGTTTCTAAGATATAAGCCATGAAAGATGGAAAAATGACAGGCATGAAAATGAAATATTAAATATGGAAATATGCATTATAAGGTTTTAATCTAGACCCAAAATAAGAAAGATCGTCGCAAATTATAACAAGGTACGCGTATTCGTTATCGAGATATTACAGCGAAAAGTTCAAGGTCGACCGGAGCGAAAATAACGTGTCACCGGGTACAAGATACAAAATTATTTGTTATAAGACATTAATCTAGGTCCGAAATAAGATTAATCCGTGCAAACCGCATCGAGCTGAGATCACGCGTTTCTAAGATATAAGCCACGAAAGATGGAAAAATGACAGGCATGAAAATGAAATATTAAATATGGAAATATGCATTATAAGGTTTTAATCTAGACCCAAAATAAGAAAGATCTTCGCAAATTATAACAAGGTACGCGTATTCGTTATCGAGATATTACAGCGAAAAGTTCAAGGTCGACCGGAGCGAAAATAACGTGTCACCGGGTATAAGATACAAAATTATTTGTTATAAGACATTAATCTAGGTCCGAAATAAGATTAATCCGTGCAAACCGCATCGAGCTGAGATCACGCGTTTCTAAGATATAAGCCACGAAAGATGGAAAAATGACAGGCATGAAAATGAAATATTAAATATGGAAATATGCATTATAAGGTTTTAATCTAGACCCAAAATAAGAAAGATCTTCGCAAATTATAACAAGGTACGCGTATTCGTTATCGAGATATTACAGCGAAAAGTTCAAGGTCGACCGGAGCGAAAATAACGTGTCACCGGGTATAAGATACAAAATTATTTGCTGTAAGACGTCAATCTACATTCGAAATAGGATTGATCCGTGCAAACCGCATCGAGCTGAGATCACGCGTTTCTAAGATATAAGCCACGAAAGATGGAAAAATGACAGGCATGAAAATGAAATATTAAATATGGAAATATGCATTATAAGGTTTTAATCTAGACCCAAAATAAGAAAGATCTTCGCAAATTATAACAAGGTACGCGTATTCGTTATCGAGATATTACAGCGAAAAGTTCAAGGTCGACCGGAGCGAAAATAACGTGTCACCGGGTATAAGATACAAAATTATTTGTTATAAGACATTAATCTAGGTCCGAAATAAGATTAATCCGTGCAAACCGCATCGAGCTGAGATCACGCGTTTCTAAGATATAAGCCACGAAAGATGGAAAAATGACAGGCATGAAAATGAAATATTAAATATGGAAATATGCATTATAAGGTTTTAATCTAGACCCAAAATAAGAAAGATCTTCGCAAATTATAACAAGGTACGCGTATTCGTTATCGAGATATTACAGCGAAAAGTTCAAGGTCGACCGGAGCGAAAATAACGTGTCACCGGGTATAAGATACAAAATTATTTGTTATAAGACATTAATCTAGGTCCGAAATAAGATTAATCCGTGCAAACCGCATCGAGCTGAGATCACGCGTTTCTAAGATATAAGCCACGAAAGATGGAAAAATGACAGGCATGAAAATGAAATATTAAATATGGAAATATGCATAATAATGTTTTAATCTAGACCCAAAATAAGAACGATCTTCGCAAATTATAACAAGGTGCGCGTATTCGTTATTGAGAAATTAAAGCGGAATGTTCAAGACCGACCGGAGCGAAAATAACGTGTCACCGGGTATAAGCTACAAAATTATTTGTTATAAGACATTAATCTAGGTTCGAAATAAGATTAATCCGCGCAAACCGCATCGAGCTGAGATCACGCGTTTCTAAGATATAAGCCACGAAAGATGGAAAAATGACAGGCATGAAAATGAAATATTAAATATGGAAATATGCATTATAAGGTTTTAATCTAGACCCAAAATAAGAAAGATCTTCGCAAATTATAACAAGGTACGCGTATTCGTTATCGAGATATTACAGCGAAAAGTTCAAGGTCGACCGGAGCGAAAATAACGTGTCACCGGGTATAAGATACAAAATTATTTGTTATAAGACATTAATCTAGGTCCGAAATAAGATTAATCCGTGCAAACCGCATCGAGCTGAGATCACGCGTTTCTAAGATATAAGCCACGAAAGATGGAAAAATGACAGGCATGAAAATGAAATATTAAATATGGAAATATGCATTATAAGGTTTTAATCTAGACCCAAAATAAGAAAGATCTTCGCAAATTATAACAAGGTACGCGTATTCGTTATCGAGATATTACAGCGAAAAGTTCAAGGTCGACCGGAGCGAAAATAACGTGTCACCGGGTATAAGATACAAAATTATTTGTTATAAGACATTAATCTAGGTCCGAAATAAGATTAATCCGTGCAAACCGCATCGAGCTGAGATCACGCGTTTCTAAGATATAAGCCACGAAAGATGGAAAAATGACAGGCATGAAAATGAAATATTAAATATGGAAATATGCATTATAAGGTTTTAATCTAGACCCAAAATAAGAAAGATCTTCGCAAATTATAACAAGGTACGCGTATTCGTTATCGAGATATTACAGCGAAAAGTTCAAGGTCGACCGGAGCGAAAATAACGTGTCACCGGGTATAAGATACAAAATTATTTGTTATAAGACATTAATCTAGGTCCGAAATAAGATTAATCCGTGCAAACCGCATCGAGCTGAGATCACGCGTTTCTAAGATATAAGCCACGAAAGATGGAAAAATGACAGGCATGAAAATGAAATATTAAATACGGAAATATGCATAATAATGTTTTAATCTAGACCATAAATAAGATAGATATTCGAAAATTATAACAAGGTGTGCGTATTCGTTATCGAGATATTACAGCGAAAAGTTCAAGGTCGACCGGAGCGAAAATAACGTGTCACCGGGTATAAGATACAAAATTATTTGCTGTAAGACGGCAATCTAGGTTCGAAATAAGATTGATCCGTGCAAACCGCATCGAGCTGAGATCACGCGTTTCTAAGATATAAGCCA